ATGCAAGTTAGCTGATAAATTACAATTTTAAATATTTTACTTCAAAGTTTTTAATCATATTTTTTTCATTTGCTATTTTTTTCTTTTGATTTTTACATTTCGCTGTATATAGGTTATATATAGCTCAGCATTTGTGCTCAGTGTAAGATTCATCATGACGGTATTGTTCATCAGAATTTTCGATAAGGTTCGGATAGAGTGTGAAATTAGATAAAAATAATATTCGTTATTATTCTAATAGCTACAAATATTTATAGCAAAAATTATTGCTAACAAGAGAACCAGGAAGAAACTTCACTACACAACCGGTTGTCGCTCTATAATTGGTTAAATGTAAAGTAAAATTGGCCGAATACACGAAATTTTAATAATTATTATGTTACATAATGTTACAACATCCCACAATTTTGAATCGAGTACGTAAAAGAAAGTGACTTGGATTGCGTCAGGTACGCGAGTAAGCGTAACATAAAACAATTTTCCTTAAGTTTCTTGAGCTGTCATAGATTTTAATTGCTATAAAAGTTGGATTCCACCAACAGAGGTATGTAACTTTAGCTGTTATCGTATCAATGTATAAATGTTTTTTTTGTTATTTGCATTATCAGTCATTCAACCATGACTTTTTTATACAAATGATCGAGGAGTAAATGAACTTTAAGGGATAAGAATATTTATTTAATATTTTTCTTCAATTTTATATTATCGTATGTCCACGCTTGTTTTTTATTAAAAGGTTAATCTGAATTTATTCAGATTTATAGACAAATAGTTAAAGTAATGAAGATACCATTCGTTACACTAACTATTTGTCCTATTCCCATTGAAGTCCATGGTCAATGCATGGACTTCACTGGGATGTTCAGATGCGTTCAGTTGGCGGTGTTCGGCAACAGCCTAAAGACTAATGCAATTTTGGGACCTATTTGGGAATGAGCACTTTAAAATAACTTACTTTATTAGTTTACTGTTTAAATATTAATAAATACTGGATTAGAACAATATTCTCTGTAATAATTTCTGAAAACAGCGGCATTTAGTTATGTACAAAAGGAGTATTTTTTTATATGTTCCGTCAATTTTTTCTTTGTCGTCAAAAGAAGATTTTCTTTATTTGATTTAACTTCTACATATTTGTGTACTCGAACAGTTATACCCTCACAGTTTATTATGAAGCGGCCTAAGGTTTGAATCGATGATCATTAATTATGAACCATTCGAGAAGTTTCAATGTCACTGACATGAAATAATATAAAGTTTTAGGGTAATTTGTATTGTAGAAGTTCATATACCAATAATGTTTTCTGCGTGTACGCGGTACACTTAATTTTGCAACAAGTCATTGTTCCCGATATCAGGGTTTTAACTCTGGTTGCTCGAGTGTTTTTAAACCAGCACCACCTGGACGTTGAGTTAAACCACTAAAATAAGTACTAAGTATTCATTATTTATTATGGACTTACTCAATTTATAACGTCATACGTTGGTAACGGAAAACTGTTTTCTACTGTGCTTCCTGCATGATATTCATGCTATTCGAAATACAGGAAATTGCCATATCTAAGTTCAAAATCAAATCAAAACATATTTATTCACATAGACGCTTGCGCGTTCTTATGAAACGCCAAAATTTTACATAAAAATAACGTTCACAAGTTACCACCGGTTCGGAAAGCAATTTCTGTTGAGAAGAAACAGGCAAGAAACTCAACAGTTGCTCTTTTTAAAATTATCAATAGACTACAATGTTGAAAGTCATCGATTGACTTAGGTATATAATTATACATCTTTCACAATATCATCAACGATATAATTGTACCTTTATGTAATTGTTTGTTACTTTTGTAATTTTGTGTGGTGTAAAATAAAGCTTATTTTATTTCATTTCATCTTTCAAGTAAAATTTCAAATTCTTGTCCCTTGAGAAGTCAGTTTAGAGTTATCCGGAATTGATCATTGATCCTGTATTTGATATAGGATCAAAGAAAATTTGGAGTTTCGCCTGGGTCGTGGTTTACCTACCTGATTTTCTTGGATGTCTACTGACGGTAGTATTTTTTAAACATTATTTTGGTCTATAGCCAAATATGACAACCGCAATATTAAAATTACAATTGCAATATCCTTTGAAATAACGTAAATAAAACATGTATTCAGATTTTATATGAAATTTATTTCTAGTGTCTAGAGTTAAAAAGTAAAGTAAAGTTTTATAATGTCCACGAATTGTATATAACTTTTTCTATAAATTTTGAAACTTAAACATATCTGCGTTTGTCGTTCAGAATTATTTTTTTTTTTTGCGTAAAAAAGCTATACATTTAATAGACTCGATCTTACAAATGACACAAAAAGTTAAAGGTTGCTAACATAATTTTTAGAGTTGGAAAACTGGCTATAAATTGTCAGTAAAGGAAAAAACATGATGATGACACTCCTGCCCTTATCCTACAAATCGGGAACGGAATTACTTGTGAATTATGTTGATTTGGCTAGGATTATATTAGCTAGATAATTTGCGACCGGCCGTTGCTCTATCAATCTCCAGGAAAAACATCTAGACTAGATCCGGGGCAATCATTATTGTGTCACCCATACACTTGTCCAGTATGGTTATCGAACCACGATCTTTAGCGCCGAAGGCAACTTAGCCACCGAGTCTATTGTGATTAAACGTAACATGAATGTATGTCCACTTGTATTATATTTAAGTATTTGTTTACATTGTTCCAGTTAGTGTGGAATATTCTTCCTTCTGAATCGCTGACAAAATAACAAACAAGGAAATTTAATAATGTCGGAGTGTATTTCTGACAATGATTTTTTTTAATGTGAAAAGTTGCCAAGCGAACAGGTGGTTCACCTGATGTTAAGTGAATACCACCGCCCATGGACATCTATACTTTTGAAAATTAGGCTCCGGCTACCTCACTCACCAGACGAAACGTGAAAGTATTACTATATTACTTATATTACTATTATTAGTATTACTTCCACTTTACGCCGGTCTTCTGTGAGGATAGTGGGTTTTCGTGTAATCTAGATTGCGCTCCGTTACTTATAAATAAAAAAAAATAGTTAAAAGGATCTGGGTTTCTGTCCACGTGGAATGTCTGTTTCAAAAACACACGATAATGTTTTCCAATATTATAAAAAGAAAACACTTTTTATTATACAGTTTCAAATCAATCGCCCTTAAGCGACAAAACAAAAAAAAGTATTTTCTTATGTCTAATTAATTACCTTTAAAACCCATTAATAAGTTTGCTTTTGTGCAATTATTTAATTTTGAAATGTACGTTAATCAAATATGAATTAACATATAAATTTATATTTAGACGTGGCGTATCGGAAATCCGGCAACGTATCGTTATTCAGAGCGAGACTTGGTCGTGTAAAAGCGTCGATGGTCTGTGGGCTCATTGATAAAGGTTTTGGAATGGCGGACGCGCCCTATACGTATGCACGGCAGCACGGTCGTGCGTCCACACACTTTCACCGATTGTGCGCGTCTCGTGTGACATATATTTATGACCCCGATTTTGTTTGCGGCTTAGTAGTATTTATATACCGTTGTAAACATTTAATATTTACTCGCGCCATTAGTTGAGACCAATTTCCTTTTTTTTATACCATAAACCGTAAGAAGTGCGATAAACTGATAGAGTATATGTTCGATTTCCACTAAGGCATGATGATGATGCGCAGACAACCAAGTTTTCGTCCGTTAGTTGCATACAATGTCATTAGAATTGTCCACTAACTGTATTACATATTAAAATATAAGTGATTGCATTATTAGCTAATTGCATTGTAATGAAGTGCATTACCTGAAAGGAATGCGTAATGCGGAAAACTAAACGTTGATATTACATTCGGCATTATTGACGAATTGCCGAGTATCGGTTGGAATTTCTAGCAGTAACACCTGCTTGTTGCCAGTATTGCGACAGCTAGGTCGTTCCGGCTGTGGAGCTGGCGATATGAAACCGGTTTGTGTGTTTCGAGCGGCAAGGGAGCGGGGGGCCTCACCTCCACCGCGTCATTTACCTAGAGTCGCCATATTATCTTTAAATTCGACGGCGAACGCAAAATATTATTATCAAAATGCGATTTGTTTGTTCATACTCGAAACACAAATGCGATTATGTCTTTACATTCCTTGCATATTGAATTCCTATCGTATTAATATGTTATAAATAAATGCGGTCAAATAATAATTTCGACCATATCTCATATACTGTTTTTTTAGATTTTGACGTCCCTGTTTCAGTCTCTAATATGGTATACCTACGTTTATCTGACACCGTTGTCCTAGTGGTACCAGGATATACCGCTACTCTAACTATCGCTTTTAAACGCATTACAGAAAATTCTTCTTGGAACGGTGTTTTACTACTAAAAAGTATATGTAGGAAATATGTTCTAACACAATACTAAAAAACCTTTTGACCGCAAAAAAATTTTACAACTTGGGAGTCCACTTTGTAATTACTTACATTATCTTCTAATTGTACACAATTTATAATTGGGTGTATATTAAATATGTAGAAGAAAATAAAAAGTTGTCATTTGTGCTCTTTCATATATCATAATAATAACAACAGAGATTTGGCTTGCACCATTTCAATGTTTACAAGTACGAAATAAGCTACAATGGAAGATAACAAAATTGATAAACACGCAATGAGTCATGTCGTTAAAACAATAACGTAAATACTTACTCTATCTAAATACATTACTTAGCAAAATATTAAAAATAAATTGCTAAGTAAAGGGTGGTAATTTAACAATGAATTAAGCAAAAAAAACGCAACAATAGTATCTGATGAGACCCGTACTCTACATTTTAATGTTGTGCCAAAGGCATTCATTTGAAATGTTCTATTATAATTAGTCGTCTAACAAAAGCTTGTACACAATTATTGCCCATTGCCGACTACTGTACCCGTCCACTGTCCATTTGTTCCAATTTTAATGAACACCATTGTTTATTTCAGATCATCGGCATCCTGTGTATGGCACTAGGTTCACCTTGGGCCTCGGCATGGTTCGTTTTCGTGGCGGTCACATCGTTCATCACCACGCTCATGTGGAGTTTTGTATACCTGCTCAGCATCAGGGAGGCCTTGAAACTACCCATCAATTGGGTTTTGTCTGTAAGTGTTTATAACTCTCGGTTACTTTATATTATATACACTTGGTTTCTTTTAATGTAAATCTCGACGAATACTATGTGTCACAAGAATTTCTAAAGAGTGCGTTCTCAAATGGATTTGCGGTTTTTAAATAAAAACATTAGCAATACAAACCAAATTGTGCTCTTTGTTTAGATATTTCACGCCAGTGCACATGTTGGAAATTTTTATTAACCAATGGCTCTATGCGTTACAATCAGTACCTATAATAGTAATCATTTTTGATGCTGTCGGCACCGTAATTAGAAAAAACAATTGTGTTTTAAAAAGCTATCACACTTAATGACTTATTACTGCACTAGAATGTTTCATTTTTATTAAAATGTCATGCAGAATGTTTCTTTATATACGTAACAACGCATTTGGAATGAAATAATTAGCATATTTGGTAATTTGTTTGATATCACTCCAAGTGGTAGTTGTTGTTGAGGCCATTTATTTGATAGGGTGTTTTCCCTAGAGATGGGTGGGGCATCCATTTTAATAAACATTCTATTTAGTCATTCATACTTCCATATTCAATTGAGGATGACTCATATTTGGATGTTTAGTAATAGGAAACTTACTTATAATTCACGTAACAAAATAAATAGTGGGCTAATGTTTCTACGTATTAAACAACTGTTTAAATTTACGTTACCGAATAATGTTCTAACTAAACACGTTAACTTTCGATAAATTTCCCAGCGCCAGTTTTACCAACTGAATACACTGTGGCTGTTTTACGGAGTTTTATCGCTTTTTCCAACTTAGAGATTAGTTACTGCTTATCATCACGTTTGATTCCACTCTACCCAATTTAATAAATTAAAAGTTAATACATTACCATCTAATAATGACAGTCCGCTCTGTTTGACCCGTAGCTACGGATGTATTTCGTGATTACTTTATCTATTTTTATCTCTCATAAATATTAATAATTCACGTAAAAAAATAAATTGCCGGGTAATGTTTCTAAGTAATAAAAAACTGTTAAAATTTAATAAGAATTATTTACTGACAGTGCTGAAAAAAATTTTGACAATTTTATACACATTCTAAGATTCATCTTAAATGCAGAGACTAGCATTACAAAATTAAATTAATTATAGATTGATTTAACATTGTTAATCTGTTGTACACAAACATAAAATACAAGAAAGTAGTGCTCATATAAAAAAATAACCGCATTTAGCAGTTTTAAGTCTCAATAATCTTAATATAGAACTGATAAATTTTTGGCCTGTTAAAAGCTGTTAACTGTTTGGCGACCATTACTTTATTTCATAATTGTATAATATTCTCATGTAAGTGACATTGCATTATCAGTTAAGATAATATGAAGGTATTTTACATTTCAGGAATTGATCAGTACGAGCTTAGAGACATTCTTCTACCTCATAGCCTTCATAGTGATGTTCACAACTGTGACAGGACACTATGCGAGCAATGTTGCCGCTGCCGTGAGTATTTTTGAAATGACTCATGTATACAACATCTTTTTATTAATACGTAATGTATTTAAAATAAAAAAAGATATGAAAATGTTTATAATACTTTGTATCATATTTTCAAGATTTGACAATTATTTTTTTCTCTGTTCATGTAATAAATGACAAATTTAAATGATTAAATACTACTTAAACTTCATTTATTTCGGTAATATTAAATTGTCCCAGTTTTGTAATGTCACTAAAAATATACTCATAACTGTTTATTACGATCGGTGCAAGTTAGCTTATTTAATAAGCTTTATTTAAGCAACGTTTAGCAAAAACATCTTAAACTAAATCTTTTTATATTTAGTTGCAATAAAAAAATATTGAAAATGTTCAAAATGTTAACCTTATTAGAAATTCGATCAACCGATTCACAAATATAAGTAAATAAACTTAATAGTTTTTTCTTTACCATTTTATCATGGCAACGTTTATACAAAACGTTTTCTTTAAATAAATAATTTAACCGGCTTTAACCGAAGCCACTTTCTTTGTACCTCATTTGAGTTTACAAATACGCACGCAAAACTTTCTCTTGGTCTCGAGAGAGGCAAAGTGCACTGCTCAGCATATTAAAAATAAAGCCACGCATGCATTATGAATATTTTATATTCATCAAATCTTCAAAGAATCATATTCATCAAAGAAAACAGATTATACATTCCAAAATTCGTGCATTAAATGAAAATCAAAAGTTGTCCGTAATCTTTTACTTTGAATTTTGTTATGCGTTTGCGATTCACAAAATGTATAATGATCACCTAACGAAGTTGCTTTATTGTTATAGATTTGAAATATAATAAATATGTAATGAAATAAAAATATAATCTAAGGCAGCACATTGGTTCGTTATTACAGATTGACGTTTTACATAAATAATCACCGTGAAATGATTTATATCATCATTAATATGGTTCAGGTGATATACATATATTGATTCTACACATCTTTTTTATATACATGTATCTAACATCACTTAAAAATGGGGGTGCAAGATATGCTCCGTATTTTACATATCATATAATGTATATTTGTTAATAAATAGTGTTTTCTGATTATTCAGGTTTTCGGTATGTTCAACACTATCGCATACGCGGGCAGTTCTTTTCTGCTGTTCAGAGAACACAAGGCGAGCGTCGCGGCGGCCTCGTGAGCAACTCCACGCGAACGCCAACACCAACAATTTGAACAATATTTTGTTGTTTTTCTTCCTATTAATATTTTTTTTAAATGAGCCTCACGTCTCTGTACATAAGTCATCGCAAAATCTAGAGTTTTATATTTTCGATATATTGTACATTTAATGTATTCTTTTTTGTTATGCATTCATACTATTACTAACAAACGAAATGATGAGCACATCGCTAATGATTATTTCGAATATAGTTAATGACTGTTGAGAACAAGTAATAAGGCCATAGATTTTGTACCTTTTAGAAAGTGGGAAGTTTGTTTTATGTTTCAACATTTTCTATTTATTGTTTTAAATTTATAAATAATGACTGGTTCAACATAACGACCTATTGTAAAGGTTATGTTGCTTGATTTTGTAAGTGTATGTTAAAAAATTAGAAAAAAAAGCGAAACGCACACAGGTAAATTTGAAATGTATTTTTATACAAATTGCACAAAGTTTTGTATTCATGATATATGACACGATGTTTAGGGATTGTTATGATATTTAATATTTACTTTTAGTATAGCTAGTCTTAATAAGGTTTCACAAAAATAATATATTACAAATTCTTTATTTAATTAAAATTATTTAATTTAAATCTGTAGTTAACCGAAGTTATTCAATCACTTAGAGCGAAGGATTTGTGCAAGTTTTTTCATTAGAAATTACTGATATTTTTGGTGGGTAATTAATTGCTCTTCATTTATTATATACTTACTTTAAGTTTAGATCTGGTAACGTTGCATACATGCTGCATTATTGTTTCCTTCATAAAACCTTAGTGAATTGTTTTTAGAAATTTAACAAAATAATACAGTCTCACACGATGCGATGTTTGAAATGCGCATTTGAATCAAAATGTTTAGTGTATATCAACAGGTACCTAAAGTTATCATTGATATTAAAAGCCCGATAGTTAATTTAACTAATTTGTAAAAAAAGTGAATAAAGTTTATTTTAACATTTTTAAACTTGTAATTTTGTAATCCTACGTGGTAAAACATATATATATATATATATATATATATATATATATATGTTTATGAAAAGTCACAGAAGTACGCAGTGTTTCGCATTTATAATAATATTTTGATTGTGCACAATCCAATTTATCTCGTAGACACAATTGCTCGTTTGTAGTATGACATCATTATTATTTTGTTCTGCAGACTAAATAGATGATTTTATTAATACGCGTACACTGGTGAACTAGTGACCACAGTTTAAATGGCTAATATTTTTTTTGCATAAAGTAGGATTCGCCACTTACCTTTTTGTATACAAACACTGCCAAACATGCCAATGAAAACTCCTTTTAAAAATTGAATATAGAACACTTTGGTAACCTAATGTGTTGTATTAATTTGTCATTTGTTTTTGTGAATAGACAATTATTCTAAGGCTTACTACATCTTAAAATTGATTTAACGCGACGTCCATCAACAGTGATATCTGAAGATAACCCCAGTGCTGTGCTACACATGAGGAAAATAAGAGAGTGACCCACCGGCAGATTCGGGCAAGCTTAGGCATTGGTATGAGTAGAGTACAAAAACTATTACACGACCATTTAGGCGTTAAGAAGCTTTGTACCAGATGGCATCGATTGACCGAAAAGCAGAAACGTCTTTGTGTAGATTGGTGTCGAAGTGTTAGAAAAGTTTGACAAAGGTGACCTGTACTATATACATCGTTACACCTTGATGACAGCTGAATATATTGTTACGAACCCGAAACTTACTAAAAAAACTACAGTAAAGATAGAAAAAGTCTAAAATATGATTGGCTCCTTCTTTGGTCGGAAAGGTTATTTCACGACAATAGTGCTCGAAGATGGAAGGACAGTTATTGCATTCTGGCATATAACTGTTGTTTGCCTGTTGTCTTGGAAAATGTTCGACAACAGCGTCCTTGAAGCAAGATCTTCCTTCACCACGATAACGCTTTAGCGCCTAACGCTTAATTTGACTATGGCAGTTGTCGAGATAATTAGTAATCCGCCATATTTCATTTATCCCTTAAAAATTAAGGAAACTTCGAGGTGTCCGCTTTACGAGCCTTGAAGATGCGTTCGAAAAAGCCGTTGAATACAACCCTAAGGAAGAATGGGCTCTCTTGTTTCAGTAGGTCCATTGAATGCAAACATTTACGAAGACTACTTCGAACAAAAATAAAAGTATTGGCAAATTTATACAAAGCGCCGTTTTATGATTTTCTAAGAAGTTTCAATGTGACCCACGTATGGACCTACCATCACAAGGCGGTCTTAATACGTAAAAGACTTAATACGACATGAAATTATACATATAGCTGATAGTAGAGACGGGAGTAAAGAAGCGAGTATGAATGGTTGGAAAAGCCATTATGGATGACAAGATAGCGCGAGAAAATGTATTTCCCTTTTATATATAGAGTAATGTTTTGAGTGTTTGCATTTTAGTAGTTATTGAACATACTGAACAATTAAAATAATTTTTCATTTTTATTGACCATTTTATGTAGTGTTTTAGTAAGAAAACCTGCATTCTCGAATTGTTACATAAAATTTTTAATTTGCAATAGGATCGCGTAGACCTTATGTTCAGAAGTGTTTAGAGCAGTGTGACGTATAAGGTGAATAATATATGCAATTTAAGTATAGAAAAGACCGGAATAAACAATGTATAATGTAATAGGTGACACTAATGCTATAGTCACATTTGATTTGTTTTTTCCTACTGTTTTTTTTCTAGTTACGAATATAATTAGTCCAGGACTTATTATGTTTAATCTTTTACGAAGGACAAATATTTTAACACAATATAAGGTATTGGACTTGTAAATATTCCCACTACATAGAGTACGTCAAAACTGAAAAAAAAATTGCAACAGAGGTCCGCGCATGGATATTCACAACAGTAGATGTGGCAGAAGTGTTGCTTACGACTAAGAGTTAAGGCCCATTTACACGGTGCAAGTTTCTTGCCTGTTGTATACAATTAAATTGAAGCAATAAATAAGTTGCATGGTCTAAACAACAAATGGTCTAACCAATTATTGCGCGCAATTTATTGCATTCAATTATTGCTCTTGCATGTACAAGAAAATGGCATCGTGTAAATGGGCCTTAAGTGAGTAAGAGAAGTAGTAAGGATAGGACAAACAATATAACGATGGTTTTTTGCAAGGCCGTGGTTCCGTGCTTCTTCGGACAAGCAGGTCTCTTCTTTCAGCAGGAGCTGTTATGTTAAGTGCTCTACTAGTCCAAACCATAGGTAGGTCCGTAGGTGTTAAGGTTCAAGCCGCCTTAGTATGATGTACAAACATATTGGCAATGTAAAACAGACACAGCTAGGAGCGGTACAATTAGTATGTGTACTGTGGTAGGGCCACGAGACAGCTTGTGCTGTTGCTTGAAGAGGCTCATCGGGGAAGTACCACGGCCTCACGGGAGACCGTTGTAAAGTGGAGGAATTATACGTTCGCGTTTCCCCCCTCTATTTAAATGTGATATCCATGGGTTGGTCGGTTGACATTTTATTTTTTTCACATAAAAATCAAAAAAATATTATTATCTTGTTCCAAAGTATAAGATTTAACATGGGTATTAAGAAAGTTTATTATTTAAAAAAAGGTTGTTATAATGCTCAGTTTAATGTGGCAGTGGTTTTTAATCTAAATACCTCTTATTTTCGGAAGGTGCATACAGCGTTATGGATTCGTATGGTCTTGCAAAATTGTCACAGTACTCTGTGGTCACCGAGAGAGGTTGTCACGTCGATAATCTGAAGAGATGACATCATAACTACCAAGAATAGTTTATAAATTTGGAAGGTCATTGAATATGGGCCTTGACACGATGGCCGTAATAAAGTTTTTGCTACAGTCGTTAAGAGTGTTTCATTGTATTATATGCTTGAATTGACTTGAGAACTTATTTCTGATCCCTTACTATACGTAGCCGTGTAGTTGTCTCGCACATTAACCTACGCGCATGCGCGAGGACATCTGACTCACCGAACGGTGGCTGAACTGCAGTTGATAATCCAACGGGTGGGACGACGCATGTTTTGCGCTCTATATTATTAAGACGCTGTTTGTTTTCGTGATATAAACAATCTGTAAGTATAACCTATACATTATGTAAAGTGATAAAAATATTATTAAACCTGTTTCTCCCATAAATTCTATATATCTTTCCATAAATGTTACCGTCTGAGTACTCAAACGGAAGATAGGCGATATTTTATAATCATGCATTGTTGAATAATAATTAATATTTGTATAGACGCTTTTTATCGACTGCTTAGTAAACTCATATTTACAAAAGAGCAGATTCATTCGACTCAACCGAAGTGCTTCCCACGTATTGTTTTGTATGCATTGTTAATCATAAGGTATTTTATTGCTTTAGGCACAGGACTCGCTGTTATTAGTAACATGTAAATATGTTACCATAGTTTAGGTTGACTTCCAGTCCGTAGACTAGGTAAATAAAGCTTCAGAGGGCACACAACTCGTAGAAAACCTATTTTTTGATGACCATGAATACCTGTTTCTTCTTTTTGAACAGGCGGTACACTTGATGTTAAGTGATAAACGCCGCCCGAACGAGCCTTCCCATTCGTGCAGACGCAGAAGCTGTTGCGTTGCGCTACCACAAAGAATCAGGATAATCTCAGGAAAATTTATCCTTAAATTTTCTGGCCTTTATCAATTAGAATAAAAGAAATCTATCATAAGATGAACTATCATCCCACTATTACGATTTAACTGCAAACATACACGTCAAATATAATTTATTCCTAAATCCAAATTTTGAATTTTATTGATGGCGTCATATTCTTTGCTTTTCACGTGTGAATACCTATTTAAGTCAACTTACGTAGTTTTAATAGTTTTTGGACAACGATATAGTTTTTAATAAGAAACGCGTGCTATTACTTCGTGCGTGGTTTTTAGTGTCCGTATATTCTTAGGCGTGTCTGTATATTATGCGGGCGTTTATTTATTCGCCGCCGACCTCGGCGTAGTGTTCTAGCGTCATGTTTCTATACGTTGACCTACGGGTGCCACTCCGTTTTTGGTTAAGAGATCGCCCTATTTCACCTTAGCCTCTCCATTTATATTTATCGCCCGATGAAACAATTAAAACTAGATCTTGTTTTAATTTTTTTCCGTAGAAACTGAAACCGCTTATAGAGCTCTGATAATGCACAATGGTCAATAAGTCGGATTTTTGCTAAAACCAGAGACGGTGTTAAGTGATTGCCACCCATGGCATCTGAAACCAGACGAGTGGCAGATACCTTGCCAACGTTAAAAGTTGGGTCCAAGTCTCCTCACTAACCAGACGAACAAAAACGAAAAGTATAAATAGTTTTACTTTACGCCTATCATTTGTGATATCTCTCCCGGATGAGGTAATCTTGAGGAGATTCTCCCAATGGGTAATATTTCTTGACATGGTGTACCTATGATATAAAATCATTTGATTCTTCTAGTTAAAAACATTAATACTCTTAACCCATAATGACGTCCTTAAACGCATAAAAGATATACTTATGTTCAATTTTCATTTGTAAAACGGAATCGATGTAGGTAATTGATATAATATTGTCGTGAATGAAAATGTGAATTGTGTTATTGCAGCATTGAAGAAGAATGTCGCACACGGTAACCATTACGAGGACAACTACCACGTCCACTGGCCACGCGCTATTCGTCCACAGCGGTTACTTGGGCACACTGCCGGGCCTACTCAAACTCGCTCAGCTGGTACGTTTTATGTGCAGTGTATGTTGTTAAATATTAAATTTTACGCTACATTACAGTCTTATTATTTTTCAAGAATGAGTACAGTTAATTAAAAAAAAATACTCGTTAAAATTACGTCAGGTATTACTACATACATATTCAATGATTTTATTATATAATAAAAAAATATCGGGAAAATACCTAAAAGATAATTGAAACATAACTGGGTTTCAAAACGCTAAAATGATTTAAATATTTATGTATGTTGGTTCAGTTGCCATGTAGTTATAATATATTTTTTAATTATAGTATCACACTGCATTTGAAAACTAATCGCACCTAACGTTGGCTTGGCGATGATTGATTTAATTGAATTTAAATTATTTTTCTCTGAATGCGATCGTAAGTTTCAATGAATAACTTATAAGTTATAAGATACTTATAAGATACTGAAATAAATCCATATTTATACAGTTCTATGTTGAATACAGCTGTTCCTTAATAAAATCCGTAATTATTGTCCTAATTATGGAACAACCGCATTTATTTTCTGAAAATCAACTTACGAAGAATTGACCTACATACTGAGCCAATTTTACGCGTCTTTATCCCACGGAAATTGCGTAAGAGAAGTCTGGAAGTTGTAGGATGAATATAATTATATTTGAATGCCTAATAAAAAATATTAATATAAAATTTATGATTAAAAGTATTTGATTTAATTTTTTCCCGTTTTTGAATCGTTTTATTAGTGGTGTTATTATTAAAGTTTGAAAGCATTAAATCATCTTATAGACACGATTAAAGAAAGACATGCTCGACAATCAGAGAGCTGACATGGAATTATTCATAGCAAACAAAGCAAGTTCGGACCCCAGTTTTGAGGAAACGAGTGATGGTCACAGTATTGAGACGTCATTGTGCGTATGACGTATATCTGACTCACTATTGATTTTGACTAAGCGATCACAGGCTTATTTAAAAAGTACTTTTAAAACTAACTATGGTCTTGTATAATATATACTACTTTGCTTCTCACAAAAATGATCCGGTGTGCAAATAAGAACACTCGCATAAATATCATTTATATAATTATGTGAATAAGAAACAAGAAAAGAAAAGATTGTTAATCATAAATGCGTACGTATTCACTGTAGTAAATTGTAATTTAAAAACTGTTATTTGGTCTAGGTTCAATGCACAAGGTACTTTGAACATTGTAAATTCGAATTTATTTCGACTGTTGTCAGGCATTTTCCCTAAACGATGACGTTATGCAACGCATCGTCATTTAATGAATTCAAGGCAAGGAATAATTAATAAGGAAAATCGTTGTGAATATACTTCTTAGTTACACATACATTTTATAAAACACGTGTTATTTTTTTCTATATAGATAACAAAAGTTTATATGCCAATAGTATTAGTAATAACCGGAAAATATATAAAAAGAAATAAAAAAATGATACAGTGATGTAAACAAAATATAGGTATTTGTTCGTTTTTATTTTTTAAATAAATTTTATAAAATCTCAAAACACTAATTTAAATAGCAAAATTCGTATTTTGTTTCTGATATTTTAAACCGATAAACAATAATTTTGAGAAAGTAACTAAAATTTCTATAGAAAAGAAATTGAGAGGTGTCAAGGGACACCCGGATGGAACGAAGTTCCTTTCGATTAATTAGTGAAGGAATTGTAATAAAATTTTAAAAATATATAATTATATAAATTGACCATATAAAATTTAATTATATCTTAAATTCATTATCAAAAATTGAGAGGTGTCAAGGGACACCCGGGTGGAACGAAGTTCCTTTCGATTAATTAGTGAAGGAATTGTAATAAAATTTTAAAAATATATGATTATATAAATTGACCATATAAAATTTAATTATATCTTAAATTCATTATTATTATTTTTTTATTACTTATTATGTACAAAAAAACCTGTATACACTCAACAAAAATAATCGTCGCGACACCACACTGTTCAATGCGAAATAGAAATGAGAATATCTGGCTTGCTTTCTATAAGAGAGAGAGAGAGAGACAGACAGAGAAACATGCGCACGCCGCACAGCTTACAATAGCTTACTATAGCAAAAAGTATCGTTACAACTTTTCGTGAGAATTTTTTCCGTCTAGCCTCCTTTTACAACGCGCGATAAGGAACTTCGTTCCAAAAATTAATTTTAAATTTAAAGTTTAATTTTAAAATGCGTAACAAAAAATAATATTGAACAAGTAGAAATTCGTTTTACAGAGATTAATATTAATATCAGAAAATCAAATGGTATCAAAATTTTAACTTACATTTTAACTTAACTACATAGGGACAGACAGACAGCGGGACGACTTTGTTTTATACTATGTAGTTGATATTGTATACAAAGACTAGCGGACCGGACAGACGTTTTCCTGTACACACGTCTTAAATCCGAAAATTACAAACTTTTTGCATAAGTTTGTGAATCTAAACCGTTCTCGAATGCATCTGAATATATACACACATACAGATGAATAGATAAGATATGACACTAGCGCATCGAAATTGAGGCACTCAAATGACACCAATTGGTGTAATTAGATTGCTATGCTGTTAAATTGTTATCTTTCCGTATCATAAGTTCTATATTTTCTGTCCTATTCACTTATATATGTCATATAATGTAAAGCGGAACAATTTTTAAACGCCTCGGAGTATGGACATGCCGATGCGTCATCCCTATTATTGAACATCATTATTTTCCCAATCCCAAAGTCCCCAACGTGCCTATAGAAGTGGAGTTTCACTCCAAAAATTACAATTATCTTTGTTATGTTTCACCATTCCATCCACGCACTGTTCACATTTAGAGGAATAACGGGATTTTTTCATGTTACCTGCTTTTAGATGAGTGGTTTTTAGAGTATGACTTCATTATATCCGTCTATTTTAAGAGTTCATGAATTACGATGTTCGCCGCTACATGCAAAGCAGTTTGTGTTAACAAATCGTGCTAAATTCTAAAGAAACGGACATATACTTTTGTCTCAGACCTGTTTCTAAAAGGACGATTTCTCCGTTTTTTTTAAGGCATTTATCTCCACGCCTAGTAGCGGATTAACAAATTAGCCGTCAATAGGCTGTTCAATTAATGCCGCCCCTACTGACCTCTGAAATATAGTAGGTATATACTACAGTGAAATATAGTATATATAATACCATAGTAGTTCACAATCATATTAATGTGTGTGTGTTTGAAGATGAACCAATTTCAGTAGGCTGTCACTAAAATTGCAACTTTATGATTTGTGCTCTACCGTCTTAATTACATCAGTTTTTTTCTCGTTCTTAGCATGTTTTTGAACTAGGGTTTCGTTGTGCCAGTTTCTAGATTATATTTACTTCGGGTAAATTTACTTGTGCTAATCTTTGCACTTATTTATGAATCGAACCCACATTCGCGGCCTGACGCTCTAGCCACTGAGCTAAACGGCTGATTACCACACCGACGAAAATCTTAACGCATTCTTCCACATTGTTTTCAATTTGAAGCAATGCTTGGCGCCATCTATTGTTATATCCTTTCCAGCATACAAACAACTTAGCATATAGTTATACAACGTTTCGAACGAGAGATGTTTTTTTTTTAGAAATTTAATTGTATTTATAGTTTTGAACATTAAAATATGTACGAAAAAGTGCAAAAGTTGTCGCTATTAATTCGCGGCCTGACGCTCTAGCCACTTTCTTAACTTCTTCCACATTGTTTTCTTAGCATTTGAAGCAATGCTTGGCGCCATCTATTGTTATATCAGTCCATATTTTAATGGTTAATAATGAAAAATGACAATAAAATGAATCAAGTTATGAAAGTCTTACATTAGGTTAAATTTTCAAGACTCGTTTTCTCTATACTATATATAAATGATGTTTATCTTTATTTCTGCAAGAGAAACATTTTGGGAAAATTTTTTGCCCCCTAAAATCTGCCGCCCTACTAAGCCTGCTGGTAAATCCGCCACTGTTTACGCCCTAGGTTGATTAGGAGAAAATGTCAAAAAGTATTCAGTTCGCTCTTTGTTATACTTTCCGTTCTTGCAATAAATGATTAAATAAATAAAATAAATAGAATGAATTGCATAAATCAGTGTGTAACTGTAAACAAAATAGAAGCGCGTCTAATAAATAAAATATTTCTAAAACTCAAATTTTATGAATATTCGATTTTTAATGAAATTTATTCATATTTACATTTATTTAAATTGTTGTTATATAGTTATGTTATCGTTAATAAGTAACATCAACATATAACGACATTGCGAAAGAGCAGTTTTGGAACGAAATTCCTTAACGCGACTTAGGGAGATGAGAGGAATTGAATTCGTTATATAAGTAAAAAGCGTTAGGTACTTATTCAATTAGACTCGGACTCTTCCACTCTGCCTCTTTCAAATATACAATTTATTATACCCCAAAGTCTAGACGTTCTAGCTTGGTGCGGGTGACAGATAAGAGTCTGACATTAATAGAAGAGATTGAAGAACTTTTATTTAAACTAGTAAATTTCGATTATTGATTCTCAGGGTTTAGTATTTAGTATCGATTATTGTTATTATTATTTTTCGTAAAATATTGACTGAAAGTTTACGATTTAATTATTTTCAGTGCTAGTCTTTGGATTTACGATGAAACTTTTTGAGTATATATATATATATATATATAGAGTTTACTGTGTAAAATTTTTGCTCCTGACGGACATAATTTTATAATGAATATTTGAAAACTAGTGACTGGTGTCGCTTTTGCTACTGAAACACATTATTCCTTTAAAGTGTCGCTTTCCCAAAAGACATTTTTTATTATTTTTGTTATGTATCATGTTTTTATTAAATATTTGAAAACTAGAGATTTATTTATGAAATTATTTACTTATATGCATTGAAAAAAATGATAGAGAAAAGACATGAAACGCACCGATTTAATTCCGAACTTCGTGGCGAGTTATGGGAAAGGCAAAAGAATTAAGTTTATGATGGTGACGTAACAGTAAATGCCTCAACATATTGAATTTATCATCATACCGATCAGTCTGCATAACTTACGACTACTTATGTGTCAAAGTGGTAATCAGTTTAAGTGGTATCATATCAATTTAAAACAAAAAGGGAGAGCTCTGGAGGGTCTATGGGCCGTTACCGGGGCCTATGTCTATGGGCTTTAAAATAAATTTTTTCAAATTGTGTTTTCAGCTGCTGGGAGCGGCGTGTGTGGGAGTCGTTGGATATTACCTGGAGCCCGGTTTTTACCGCTCCGGTGGTCAAAAACCCGAGCTTTTCTACCTGCTGGTTTCGGTGTCATGTCTCATCGGCACGTTTTGTCTTCTCACCTCATGTTTAGTGTCGCTATCCACCGCTCAATTAATATCCAAAAGTGTTTTTGTAAGTATCGTGAAAGTAATTTACACTGACTTTTACTTTGATAGCTATTCAGATAATCTATTGGAGGAATCTCTTGCGAGGATTTTCGGTTTATCAATCTAATGTAGTTGTGTTGTAATGTAGTTGACTTCTGCAGTTTTTTGATAATATGTTAGACCGCCCTAAATACTACATTAGATTTCATAAACTGCAATTCCTCGCAAGGATGATCCACGAGGCTATCAAAATAAAGAAACATCGTTATTTCAATAGAGAAGATGGTTGAGGTTTATGATCTGCTTGGGATCCCATAATTTAAAAAAATATAATCACACAAACACTCATAGACCTCAAGATACCACAAGCTGTTTTTGTTTAGATCGGAATAAAAATAAATGTATTTTGTCATTTATTTTTATTCCGTATTTTTTTGACGATAGCCCGTGTTAATTTTGACATAGAGAAGATGATACAACTCACTGTGCCCATGAACGCTGGAAAGGGTTCGAAACGTTGGGAATTAAAAATCAAAATTAAAACGCGATAAAAACCGTAAACTAGTTTCATTTAATAAGTAAACATATTATTGTTAAACAATTACAAAACTTTATGCCAACCGTGATAGCTCATAGTCAAGGCGCTTGGTTGTATTTCAATATACTCAAGCAACCTGAGTACAATCCTCGGCGCCAGAACCAATGAAATTGTCAATTTTAAGTGCTGATTTATCACGTGCTCAGCGGTGAAGGAAAGCATCGTGAGGAAACCAGCATATTTTCCAAATAATGTGAATTTCCAAGTTATGTGAAGTCCGCCAATCTGCAGTGGAGTCGAGTGATGAAGTATGCTCTAACACCCTCTATACAGAGGCCTATCTACAGCAGTGGGACATACATATATAGGCTGTTAACTCATCACGCTTTAAATCATTGAGGGCCACCGTACTCGTAGGTAAATTTGATGTAGTCAGTGATAAATTTTTATATTAATTGTCCGCAAAACTATATGACTATACGATACGAGTATATACGATTAAAGATTGAAGATTAAGTAGCAGAAATAAAAATATTATGCCAATTACCGTAGCACGAGGGTTAAAAACTAAATACCGAACTAAATCAAGAAAGTACTTTAATCACTGACCGAATGTACGACTAGTACGACGTTTACTTCGATTAACTGTAATATAACATCAAACGATACAAAGATGTAAAATTAATGCATGGTTCATATGACGAACCATGATGATGTCTTAATTGTACTTTATATCGATGTTTTGTTTATAAATATCTATAATGTTTATTAGAAATTCAACAAAAACTAGAGTTAATAAAATTAAAAAATAGATTTTACCTAGTGGAATTTACAGGAACTCTTCATAAACACCAGAATTTAAGTTTTAAAGTCAAAAATTTGTTTCAGGGTTATTACCCAAAACAACACGAGATAGAAAATTTTCTCGCATTTAATATACTGTTATTTCATTATTACAGGAAGTGATACATCATGGCGTGGCATTCATACTATATTTAGCAGCAGGACTTACCCTTATTATTGAAGTAAATCATCAGAAAAGCAGTTATCGTAATGATTATGAGCCGTATTTAGCAGCTGCGGTGAGTGTGACTGCAAAAAAACATAAATATGTATTTAAAAATCTTATTATTTATATTAGGTTGGGGAAAAACTCTTTTCGCAAATAGTATGTATGTACTTATAATATAATCTCATTGGCTATACCATTTGTATCTGGATGGTTTAGATGGTATCATTAAAAAGTTTAAATTTAAAAATATATAATTCTAAATTCAAATTAGGAAAATGTGTGATTTTCATTTGTTTTTCTTACTGTTAAGATTAGTGATTCTAATGAAGAAATTCGATACATTTTAAAATTTTACTACTAAAAAGGTAAAACTGCAACGCAAACCGTGAAAAAAATTTGTGATATTTATGGACCTAGTGCAGTGTCTGTGAGAGTAGGGTCAAATTTGGTTTAAGCGTTTTCGATCCGGAAATTTTGATGTCAAAGATTCACCTCCCTCTGGGCGCCCTGTTACGGATAAAATCTATGCCATTTTTCAAAAAGTGGAGCAAGATCGGCATATCATTAGTTTCGATGTAGTTGAAGAACTGGGAATTGATCATTCAAAACAGTTTTGGCGCATTTGAAAAAAGCTGGGTACACAAAAAAGCTCGATATTTGGGTGCCTCATGAGCTCACTGAAAGAAACGTAATGAACCGTGTACTCATTTGTGATTCTTTATTACGACGTAATGATCCATCACCAGTGATCAAAAAAACAATTTTTTTGATCACTGGTGATGAAAAGTAGATCACGTACGACAAGAACATGCGAAAAAGGTCTTGGTCAAAGGCTGGTTAGGCTTCACAGACTTTGGCAAAACCCGGGTCATCTCGCAACAAGGTAATGCTGTGTGTATGGTGGGATTGGAAGGGCATTATTCATTGTGAGCTGTTATCGCCAGGCAGGACCATTGATTCTGAACTCTACTGCGAACAACTTATGAGATTAAAGCATGAAGTTGACAGAAAGCGGCCGAAATTAATCAACAGACGGGATGTGGTTTTTCATTATGATAATTTTAGATTAATTTAGCCACTCAGCAAAAATTAAGAGAGTTTGACTGGGAGGTGTTAATGCATCCGCCTGACCTTCCACCTTCAAATTTCTACTTCTTTTGGTCTCTTCAGAATTCTTTAGGCAGTGTCAGGTTAACATTACGAGAGGACTGCTAAAACCACTTGTCGCGGTTTTTTAGTCAGAAGCCCCAGAATTTCTATAGAAATGGGATCATGTCTATATCTACAGTATGGCAGAAAGGTATCGAACAAAATGGCATCTACATACTTTATTTAAATGTAAATAAACTTTATTAAAAATATTTTGAATTTTCATATAAAATGCGAAGAAACTTTTTCCCAACCTATTATTACGATTACACCTCCCTGTTTGAATGAGTATATAGCAACAAATTTTGAGCCAAGTACAACCACTTAGTGGCATTAGGTCTTACCAAAGGCATTTCTGGACCGATACGAATTAGGGACATAGAAGAGACGTGGCCAGGTTAAAAATACTTATTTATTTAATTATTTATTTATCCTTTATGCACTAAAAGTACAAAGGCGGACTTAATGCCAAAGGCATTATCTCCCAGTCAACCTTAGGGTGGTACAGAGAAGATTAGGTAGGTGCACAGAAAGACATAAAAAAAGAAAAAACTACAACTGAAACTTACAAGCTACATATCTTATATTATTTGTATATGTTAAGATGAGTAAAATTCATTCTTACTTATTCATATTTCATTTACTTAACTTAAATGTTATTTAAATTTTGATTTATCACGTTGAGATTGATTTATCATGTGTTCAACGTGTTAAATAAAGATATGTAAAACGAACTAGGTCCTTGCCTGTGTCCTAATACTACAGGATCAGAAGAGGTCCTTTTTGGACAATGAGACAAACATATTATGCCTCTGTTGTTTATTATACCCTACTCGTATCACCGTATCAGTGAAAAATATCACTGATTCAATATTAGAAGTAAGAACATATAGATATTGAGAGGCAATATGTTTTTTAATAATAATTTGAGGTTTTATTTTGATTACAGGTTATGGGTCTAGTCATGGCAGGGCTGTATCTTCTAAGTACTTTCTTAGCAAACCGTTCCTACCGTGGATTCTAAATTGTTTAAAACAACAGTGCATTTGATAAAGCATACACAAGTTTTTGTACAACGGTTTTCAATATTATGGTAGTTTTTGTTTTATGTGCAGAAGATTTTACTGTTTTACGCTTAATTCTAGTAGAAGCTAGCTCGTTTTAAATGCAAGTAGGTACCCATGTTTAAGCAAATCATGAAGCAATAGAAAGAATATAATAATAACAACATATATATGTGAAAGTTAATAATTCCATAATTTTTTTATTAGCAAATGTAAATAAAATAACCATGGATTTCTTTTAATCCATCTTTTGAATCAATTTATAATTTTAAGATTTTTGATACTATTAAATATTTTTTCGATACTGTTTAATACTTTTTGTACCTTACTGATATAATTAAGTGCTTAATTGTAAACATTAACTAATTATTATTTATTACTTTTGATCAGTATTTTATTAAATAACTAGCGACCCTCCCCGGCTTCGCACGGGTGCAATGTATTATAAAATATGAACCTTCCACTTGAATCACTCTATCTAGTAAAAAAAAACCGCAAAGATCCGTTTTGTAGTTTAAAGATCTAAGCATAGATAGGGACAGACATACAACGGGACGACTTTGTTTTATACTATGTAGTGATGCACAGCAAAGAGAGGTTTACATTTCAAGTACATTTTACCACAGTCACTCACTTGTTTTGCCTTCCCTCCACTAACACTTAAACTTTATGGTATGGTATTAAAGTTCAAATAGACTTTTAAGTATTATTACGAATCTGTTGTACAGGAATATAGAAAAGTGTTGTTTTTAGACTTTTTCAGGCAATTTTTTAATTTTTTTTCTTTATATTATAAGAACCTCCTGATAATAACAAACACAACTAAAAAAAAAAGTGAAATCGGTCCAGCCGTTCACGCGTGATGGCGTGACCAAGGGAAATAGGGATTCATTTTTATATAATTATATAGATTTAGATCTTTTTGTATTGAAATGTACTTCCTCGAAGTTGTGTTGTTTTCTCAACATTAAGTTCTTAAGTTCTCATTTGATAATGACCATTATCTAACGTTGCTTATTTCGACAATATAACTTGAACGACATCTCCATAGAGTTCCATAGAAAGCTAGAGCTCCATAGAGATCGATTAAAGCTTCAAGAAAGCGTACAACTAGTTTGGCATCCTAAAATATTCCGAAATACACAACTCGGTTATGTTTTCAAGATAACAGCTTACTATATTACTGTATTATAACTTAACACAATGCATAATAAGTACTCTATGGGAACGTACCCATATTACAGTTTTACCTAACTAGCTATACATAATTTTAGTTAAAAGTGCTAAACGCTGCGCAGCATATTTGAATTTAGCCCGGGATTTGGACTACGTGACGAAATCCTAAGCCCCACCACCACCTTCTCCCTGTTACCAAACGTGGTCTGAACGGGTCACGCAATATGGATATGTTCCTTATGAGGCTTGATTCCCGGCCAGGCAGGTAGGTGATACCTACCTATTCAAATGAAGAATTGTTAGTTTCGGTGGGTATTGTTTGTGAGGGATAACAAAGGGTATCTGGGAAATAAAATAATCGGGACACACACAGATATAATGTTTATATTTAGTGTTTATTTAATTATAGGGGTGTTTGAAAATAAGCAAAATAGTTTTCGATGTTTTTTATTCTGCGCCATACAATGAGTAGATTATAATAAACCGGAGAGTTTGCGTATCTGTTCTGCGTATTGTTTGTTAGATAACCCATTTCTTAACAAAAATAAAATAATGCATATTATTACCCACAGAAATAGCCCTTTATGAGGTACCTAACATAAAAAAAAATGTTATATAAAAATAACTCAGTATAATAATAGTTTTTGTAGCGATCGTTATTAACACTATTTCTTATATTCTTGCCTTGATTGTAGCTCTCCTTGAGTTGTTCGGTTGCTTCTAAGCATGTATGTTCTTGGTGTTTTTATTCCTCTTTGTTTGCATTCCAGCGCAGCGCTCTGGATAAGCAATTATGCGTGTAGTTGAAGCCAAGAATATTTTAGAGTATCTAATGTGGAAACTGCATTCTATATACGAGTATGTACGATGTTGGCACGATCTATGACGACACATTGTAGGAATGAGTTTACGGAATGACCAATTTTGCGATACTGTAGTCCAAAACATTCCTAACGTCAGGACGACCTTTGATGTCACGAGTGTTGACATAAGTTATATTTTCGAAATAAGCATTTACGTTATAGGCATTGGAAGATATAATAAATAAGTTATAATTATTTTTTATAACAATACAGCATATTTACGAGACTAGAGTAGATGCCATCTTTAAGGGCCGGTATTTTTCTATATATTTTGGTACATATTGTTAATATTACAACAATATATTGTTGGAATATTGAGTGACTCCCTGTTGTTTTGCCGAAAATCTTTGATGGTAACGACTTACCATCAAGTTGTTTGCACGTTAACGAAAACAAGGAATTTATAACATATTAATATATGAAAACTACATAGGTACTTAAATATCGCCTCTATTTTGCCTCGAAATCTGAATTAAACTTTTTATGAGAATAAGGAAAAATTATTATCATTATGTAACAATATGTTTTGACTGCATAATATTGTATGGGTGTTGTTATAGTTTCTGTTATATATTTATTTTATATCGAAGCAAAAAATATCCATTATAGCATTAAGGTTACATTGGAAAATTTGCCAATACAGTGCCAGCTTAGCTTTACAACGAGAAATAACATTGTTAAGTAATAGGTTTATTATGTATACATACATAATTTGTACTTAGTAGTTATTTTTGTTGGCGACAACAAAGTAATTTTTAAATTGTTTTAAATATGAATCCTTGTAATTTGTGGAAAGGTTAAATATTATCATCAATATTTTTTTATTACGTTTACGGCATTTTATTTTGTTTATGGATCATATAATTTATCTATGATATATTATTATATATCATAAATAAATCGCTTTTGGAAACTAGCAAATATTAATATATACAAACCACTTCTTGATTTAGAATGTGTGGTAACGAATAATTTTGATAATAACTATTCCTTAAATTATTGAAGTCTTACAAGCTTTCGAATCATAATATTTGTGTATTTTTGTATAATTAAATTCGTAATTTTGTATAATATGTGTGTTATTTTGAGCTTGAACAAGAGCTTGCCTTAAAATATTGTAGTTGCCTTATTCATAAATACAGAAACGTGAACAGCTGCCTGGGGCTCAAATTTTTAACCTAGTAAACAATATACTAAAAATAGAGGTAACCCTCCGCGACGCGTGCGCCTCTCTATTTTTAGTACATGCGTCCACACAAAGCAGATGGAATCATTAAACTAAAACTTCCACATTGTCAAGACGTATCCTTTACATTTGTCTAGAATATTTTTATATAGAAAAATTAATCAGCGACCTTTGTAACTTTTTGGGCGAATAAAAGAAACCGTTGAGAAGTAAAAGATATTTAGTTGTTTGCAATCAAAAAAAAAAGGTCGCCGACCCGTAATTAGGGACGCGCGAAACTAAAAATATTGCTCATGACTAACGCCGAATGCGTAAATTGTGAAATTCATTCACCCCGTTGAATTTCCTGTTGGTTCATGCATTCCTAGTCTCCTGGCTAGGCGTGTGGTGTTTAATAGTGCGAGGTGCGATTATTTCGCACACTTAAGGTTCTTACTTCGATTAATAAACGAAACGATGACTCGTGGACCCACCATTGTCCGAGTTGCGCCAAGTGGGAGTAGTGGGAGAGGATTAAAGTGCTGCTGCTGTCGATGCTGCGAATGCATCAACCTTGGATACCTCACAACACAGCATGGTGTCATCAAATTGGCTGAAGCCGTAAGTATAAGAGTAGTCACCGAAAGTTATCTGATGATCTGTGTAGGATGTTACTTAGCAAATAATAATCAAGTATTGAGAAGTAGTGGCAGAATTAAAAAGTGGAATTTACTAGTGAAAATATGCGCTTTGTTTACTGGGTTAATTTTCATTTCGTTTGTATGTTAATAGTGAAACTCAGGATATTTTACGAAATATAACAAGTACTTTGCTATTTTACCATGATTATTAGCGCTTAGAAGGCGGTGGTTCTAATTTATTTCTTTATTATTCAGATACACGCTCTTATATTCATTGTGCTTGACAAAATCGAGCAATGCGGTATTGGCGTCAAAAATATAATTGCAACTTTTTGTTCTTCATAAACTCTGAACGAAAGGTTTTTGTTTACTGGTGATGATTGTAATTTACACATAGCCTTTGAGAATCGGCAACTTCCAATACCATATTCCTTGGAAATCGTAGTAGTAAGCTTCACGTTTAGGAACCAATCCGTTAGTCGTAGGAACCGTCTCGCACAGACCCCTACTGTTGAGATTACGACACGTCCTTGATTTCTCTAACGATGAGACGACTATTGCCATCGACAGGATCAAACAGTTAAGAAAACACACCAATTTCCAGTTAATGATAGAAGCGTCACTCGAGTTTCCACTTCTCTCAGCGCAAACGCTTTCCGAAGTGGTAGTAAAGATGGCTGTAGAAATTCTCCCAGCCAGATCGCTCTCGGGCACCCCCGAGTCCAGCCGAAGTCGAGGTCCTCTCATGGGAGCCCTTGGGTCTAGTCACTTCATGAAGCGTCCGCCAAATCGACCTAAGAGCTTGACGGCCTCCCGAACCGGTGAATCGAATAATAATAGCGTGACGGCCTAAGCCAAGGCTCCATCGGGAGTCCTCGATCTTAGTCACCAGTTCCGAGGTTCAGGCTACGCGTCCTCAGCGCCCAGCCACCTCAAGTGCGGTGGATCTGTAAAGGCCTCCCAAAGCCAACAGTGATTGATACCGCCAAAAAAAAGAAAAAGTTTAGGAAACACTGTCGGTATTCATGCATAAAATTTATTTAATTATTTAGAAAAAGTAGATATGAACATGACCATATTAAGCCCAGTTCATGTAAATTTTGACTTCTAGAAGCTGAAAAACGTGTTTAATGTATATCATAAAACATAATATTCATATTGAGTTAGTCAATAGAGTATAAATAAAATCTATGAAGTTTCGAAAGTTATAGTATTTATGTAAATATACATTAAGCATGCTCACAAAAATTACTATGGGAAAACCCATAAAAGAGAAGACTATTACTATAAAATAAATAATTAAACTATTAAATAAATAAATGAATTATAAAAATGTATAATTAAATATAAATTAACAAAGTAATGAAATGTAAACAATTAAATTACGTTTTCCAGGAGTAGTATTTCACATTACGTTTATGTAATTAACTATTGCACTAGATAACAGATCCAAAGATACAGATTAATAATAGACTCTCGATTTGAATATCAGTCGCCACGTTCTTTAATTTATTTTGATTGATTATCTAACCTTCACTTGATAATAAGATATGTGCCTAGTTTCCGCGGGTTGAATCACACACTCAACTTTATTAAATTAGAAGGTAAAAATTATTGGAAAAAGATACTTCAATTTTTATTTAAAATAAAGAAAGAACTAACCGTAATCATGAGGAAAAAAATCAAAAAGTTTTTAATTGTAAATAAACAAGAATTAAATTGCTTCAATCAACAGTGCGTCTGGGAGGGTGACAGGTTGGAGAAGTATACTACCTTAAACACTATAGTAACAAACTTTACTACACCCACAGCTAGTGTAACAACAAACACAATAGTTCGTCCTCGCCTCCGAGCACGGCGAGACCAACACAACGCGTACACAAGGTACACCCGCGTTCCAGGGCGGTTCTCACCGCCCCCAGCCACCGATTAGCTAAAAAAACACAGTCGACGGCCATCGGGGTCTCGGTCCGCACCGCAACTTCGATGGCCCTTAGATGACATGTCGTAGTTAAACGCACGCATGAGCACATGCGCGGCCCTACCCACAGCGGAGGGCCCAAAGCCGTGAGTTTTGGCTAGCCCACCGGTTCTGCGTCAGATGAAGCTTTAATAGTCTCGGGACTGAAAGCAAAAACATCAGTTAATACAAGATACAAGAGTAACAAATAGCAGTTTCTTTTAATAGTTCCTTCATGTTTATGTTCGAATTTCGGGCCTCGAAACTGTCATTGTGGTATTGTTCTCTGCGGTAGGGCCACGCTAGGGCTTCTGGTGTTGCACGAATGGGTCAGGTGCGTTCGGGGAAGTATCACGGCCTCACAGAAGACTGGCGTAAAATAGAAGGAGTGAGGTAATCGCCGATCAATTAAAGTTTGTAAACGCATCTGCAAGTTAACGGATATTATCGAAGTTCATAGGTGACGGTATTCACTGAACAGCAGTTGAACAATCTGCTCGTTTGAAAACTTTTCACATAATAAAAATAGTCCGCAGGCATCTAAAATGTTAGTACGAGAAAAGTCGAGTAGGTTTGGTTAGTAGTTGCATTAAGATTTCAATGTGTGACAGTGGTATTGGTATGAAAAAAAATCCAAAGGCTGTTTGTTAGCTATTTGCTGCACCACGGTTACACATGAGGGTCGATGATTTTTTCAATGATAATAACGGAACTTCGCTGAAGTGCGATCACGAGGATTCGGATTACCGATCGCTTGGCTTTAATAGGCTTTTGCTGAGCTAGTGCATTTATCATCTACTACCACATCGTAACTGAACATGAAGTGGGAGTTGGGACTTATGTAAAATAGCCTATCCTCTGCCTTAAGACTTTTAGGTGAAATAAATTTTACTATATAATAAATTTTGATTTTTATGAGAACCATACGGTACTAATTAAACTAAAATGTTAGTGAGTCAGAAAATCCGTATATGTCTTCTCAGTTCCCGATTCTGAGTTGAGTTTTAAATTAACGTAACAGCTTATAAATCGCCTACTGCAGGGCAAAGCCCTCCTCTGTGCAGATGGTATCAGGGCATAGTCCAGCACGCGACCTCACTACGGATTAACGGACACTAAGCTATCACGGCTCTTGAGTTCCAATAGATTGTTTTAATAGGTTTCACTCAGAACTCTTTAACAGATATGTTCTTAGAGTTAAAATAACATTTAGAAATTTTGTTCTAGTTCGTAGGAGATATCCAATATAAAAGAACTGTACCTGCCTATTCCATTTACGTACTTTTTCTGTATATTAAAAATATGTGCAAGTTAAAAATCTGAGTATTTGAATATTTGTTGGTTGCCATGCAAACAACTAATTGTTTCAATTTAAGTTTCAATTTAAAAGTTACGTATTGACTGACTCATTTGGCACGTCGACTAATTAATAGCTATTGATAGCGGATTTCGAGCATTAATGAAAGCTACGATGACGGCATTTGGCCCCAAAAAACAAAAATTGTAAAGATTTTTCTTGCCTGCTCTTATTAATTTATAAACAAATTAATAAGAGCAGGCAAGTATAATACGCGAATTATAGTCGATTATTACTTTTTTATTTCAGATGCTGGGAGGGTTATGCCAGAGTTTACTGGTAAAGTACGGCATGTCAGAAGCTAGTACTATGGGATCTGCCTTCCATGGGTTCCTCACGACCGCATCGGCTTGTCTCCTGACCACGGCTCTACTCATAGCTTGCTACGTGCTATCATCTAATTCGCAACAGCTTATACGCCAGTCGATATTTGTAAGAGTTTTTATTATAAAGCATATATAACAGCATTCTAAAAGCATGTTAACAGTGGAAGGGTCACGCAACAGCAACTGTTGTTGCACGAATGTGATTTTCATGAAAGAAAAAACGTGCCTTATTACAAGAGAAATTTTATGACGAATCATTACTTATTAACAATGTTGTATTGTACATTCTCACCTACTGGAACTACAAAACTTTTTGATATAGCGCTGTATGTATCCAAATTCGAATAATCACGACAACCTAAGAAATGATTGATTTGGCATTAGTGTTCAATATCTAATTATTTGAAATACTAAATTTCTACGGTGAAATTAGGTGAAATAATAAAATAAATATTGAAAAAAATCAAAGTCACGGTAATTTCCACAAAACCCTGAAACTGAACATCGAACTGAAGTAACCTCATATCATACCTTGACATCTTATCGTTCGATGAGATTGATAAAGTTAATGATTGAATGAGCAAAGATAAGATTTTGACAGTGTATTAAATACATTCACGTACATAGGGGAACGAAAAAATTAGCAAAACATTTATCAAATATGATAAAATTACGAAGCTTTGAATCAGGTTTGATAAAAATTGCGAAGCTTTGAATCAGGTTTGATAAATTTGATTCTGTTTAACTCATGTGTTGATTGTGTTTTACCAGAAAATGTCTTCTTTAATATGTATATGTATAATAAAAGATTGCAATAATTGGCTAGATTGGCACTAATTTAGCATAAGGCTGAAATCTGATGTTACTCGTAGTAGCGCACTTTTTACCATTTGCAAAATAAACGTTATGAAGCTTTCTTTAAAATGTAAAAGCGATGGTAAAATAACACCATTTTATGGACACTTTACATTAAGGTTGTATCTATTTCTAAACCCCAAATACGATTGGTATTGGCAAGCAACAAATGATAATTGTCTTGTGAATATGCTATGCACTGGCAAGTGTTGGCTTCTCTTATTGTCATAGCTACTAGATTTTTCATCTAAAATCATTAGCTGATACTAGTTAGTTATATAGCTAGTTATGGACATTTTTGTCCGTCGAACGTTATAGAAACCTTTTACACTTTAAAACTTTAAACTATTTAAACTTTACGGCGTAGGTACTCCTTACCAAAATTCTATCCCATACAATCCTGATCTTCTATTATAAGCCCCTATATAGATTTATTATGCTATATATAGACGGATTATTTGTTTACTTTAGTCTTTCTACCAAGCTTAATGCTAACATGGATGTGTCAGTGAATAGTATTCTGTTCCAAGTACCTCTTCAAGTACATTGTGAGCAAGCAATGCTGGACTAAGCTACCCGATCTCGATCCGTTATTATGATTTCATTCGATCAGTGGTTGTGAAACATGCGTAAAAATAAACTTTTGATTTCGCAGGTGTCTTCTTCCAAAAATGTTATTTCATAACGGTTTGCGTTTCTTTGAGTACATTCAAAAGCGTAAACTATTTGGATATATTTTTATATCGTATCATTATAATGATGATAAATATTTTTTTTTCTCCTATATTTGACGTATGAAAATATTCACTATAGCTGTAAAACACTGTCTTCCAATAAAAGTACTCATGTGAGGAATGTCGAGTTTATAAACAATTACGAATCAAGTGACGTTTAATAACAATCTATATATAAAACAAAGCACTTTCAAATATGAAGTAAAGTATCGGAAAATAGGTATGCAAAGCTTACAGCCTTTGCCGTTCCTTTGCAAGATCTGACCCTAATTGGCATTCCTGAAATTATTGCCACAAAATTTACATATTCCCAGAGCTAAAAAATAAGAACTTCTTATTGAAAAAGATAGTCAATATAGTCATAAAAAAAGATATTCATATTTTTTAAAAAAATTTCATTAATATTCAAAAGCTTTGTTGCTTAACGAGATTGCGGTCATTACGCCTTTGAAGTGAAATTAAGAATTTCACTCTTTCGTCAATTCACGTGATATCGATTAATTATCTATGATCACTTTCTTATCATGATTTATATGTAGGAAATGAAAAATTAATACGCTTTATGCAAACGAATGGCACAGGGTTGAGCAATTAATATATGAAGTTGCAATTGTTACATTGAGCTCGTGAACAAAAAGTACACACCTAAACGGAAATTAGATATCAGAAAAGGTTTTCAAAATTTACTATTTTTGAGTTTATCTAACCCTAAATGGTGCAATGCCTGCCTCCTGAGATTCAGTGCTACCAAAAGCAGGTGTGGCTTTTCACCTCAATTAGGAGGCCGATGAGTGGATTTCGTCGTATTTGAACTGGTGTTGCAAAATATTATCCAGCTTCTCTGGAATCAATAGAGAGATCACTGCCCGGACTGGAGCCAGTCTCAGAGATGACACTGGGCGTATAAGTTTCATTTCGTAGTGTAACCAGAAAACTTTCTTTATTATTTTATTTTCCGTCTAAGGCTATTCATTAATTTGCTTTTACTTTAAAATACCAATAAATAAATTATTAATATACTTATTTATAATTAGACCAAATAAACGTACGATATTCATAATTATTTATATAAATTTTCATAATTATTTAGGTATATATTTTCATATTGATATATTTTCAGGAATGTGTTTTTAATTCAGTGGCGTGCTTCATGTATTTGTCTGCCTCCTCATACATGGGTGTTGCTGTGAACATATATTTGTATCCAAGATATTCCATAATCAGTATGTACTCAGCGTATCCTGCGATGACTGCCGTTTATGTAAGTGATGTCCCCAAATATTTTTAATAGGCGTCCGGTAACTATAATTCTAACTTTTCTTTGGGAAGAGATATAAGGAAATACTGTTTCTAAGTATATTATCGTCTATTTGGTAATCTTATGATACGAGTAAGACATTTTGAACAATTTATTACCTTTAAACAGTTTCAAGAAAAAAGGTTCAGTTCAAAATAAGTAGTCTGTTATGTATGTAATTAATTTTACATGTGTACACAAACTTCAGATGGTAACATAAGTAAACTAATTGGTAATAATTTAAATATAACCCAATATTTATTTTTGTTTCAGTACATTGGTGTGATAGTCGGTATTCTTCATGGAACCGACGCGTACATATCTTATAAGTACCACAAAGGCATTCGATAAAATTATCACTAAAAATATAAAATATATACTAAAAAATAGATTCGACTGTAAATTACATGTAACAGTCATTAAATACATGTATATTAAATTATTACATAAGAATGCAACAAATCGAATCAAAAAATCAAATGAAGTATGTAACTTGTAATATTTTCAAATAACATTATATAGGTATTGTCTATTGAATTCGTGTTGAATTAATGTAATTGCAAGATATCTTTTTAAATTATTTAAATGGCAATTTGTTATCAGTTTGTATGTTGATAAAAAAGATAATTTAATTAAAAAAAACATGTGATTTCCACAGTGAAACGATTAAAAGCTTCTTTTACTTAGATAACACATGTTGCATTTTTAGTACTTATACTTATTGGAATGACAAGTTTTTTTCTTTTGAATATTTGATATTTCGACGTGAGTGTATTTAGCAATCTTTTTAACTGGATTTTAAAATGACAACTAATTCATCCTATTTTGTTAAATAGAAAAATTGCACGAACCGGACGGATCTTTTAAATTTTTAATTGGGCCTAGAACGCCAATTTGAACGATGACAGTCTTCTGTTTTGTGCAGTGTCTTAAATACAACTCATTTGAAATTTTATTAATCAAGTTAATCGATTAAACACTTATTATTCGTAACAATATTTCATTTTTTACATTTTATCGAAATAGTTATGTATCTCAAATGATAAACAATATTTTATTTCGTAACATTGTTGCTATTTTTTTACTCCTTTACTATACACCACGCCATAACTGTAAAAATAACCTTTTCAAGTATATTTTTGTTACTTATTATTTAGTTTTATTTCTCAAATCCAACCTTGAGATAACGCGTTTAATCTGTATAGTTTTATACGGCTGACGTTCAAATTGGGGGTATCTGGTACCAAACGCGTTTAGTACCTGGTACGGACGTCACCGCATTGTTGAATAGTACATACGACTCTTGTAACGACGCCCTATGCTATTGAAAGAACCACAACAAATACGACGTGTGATGTTTTCCCCGTATTTGCGCAGAGATCCGATAACAGATACAGTGCATTCGAAACGAGGATATTGAAGAATTGATTCCATATTTTACTTTTAAAATAATAAAATAAAATGTTTTTATGTGTGTTTATTTTCTCCTTATAACCAAATTATAATAGAGTCAACAGGAAAAAATTTGAATATATATGTTAAAAGTAAAACACGACTTAATAATAAAAAAAACATGAATACACCACAAAAATTTGACAATTTAAATTCATATCATCTAGATTTTGTAAATTAATAAGCAAGAAAGGAATTATTTTCGTCAGTTTATAATAACATTATTTTTTCTGTAATAAAGAAAGAACAGAAAACAATTTTTGTATTGAGTGCAGTCCCCTCTTGCTGTAACCAATACTAGCATACGTCTGAGCAGGCATCCTTTGTTTCCTTCTTTGTTTCTTGTTTTTTACTTCGCGGTTTTAACATTCTTTAGTTCTCAGAAGTCCGCGCTGCCGGTTGCATTGTACTTACCCCTAAAACATCCCAGGCATGCTCTGTACATACTCTGGACATGTTCGGTTCAAAACATGAATCCCCTAAAGCATTCTCCTTGTCTTTACTTCGCTCGCCGAATCGATCTGCACCGCACAGAGATATCCTAGCCTCACTGAAATACAATATCACTATCCCAGTCTTCTTGAGTGCATGAAATTTATATAATTTCAGGCTAAACTAAACTCGGTACTACTCACCGAGTAACTTAGGATCTCCATGTTACCTCAGTGGCTGGGTGCTCACCGCGTGCTCTTCGGTAAAGGAAAACTTTATGAGGAAACCTGCAAAAATCCAAAACACTAGCAGAAAAGGGAAATATTGCGAAAATATGTGAAGTCTGCCAATTACGTTGTTGAGTACGATCTAATAAGATGACGCCTTTGTCCAGCAGTGGGACCTACCGAGGCTTTTAATTAACTTTTTTTTTATACACGTATACTGTCAACAAGAAATCTTTCTGTGCTTCCATAGACCATTTTTTTTATTTCTTCCAGACTCACCTGTGATTTATCAACGCTTCACTCACCAGATAATGATCATCCTGGGGCTGGTAGGGCTTACAGGACTAGACCTTCTCTAAGTAGAACCAGTCCCTTTGTGCTTTTTTATGTGATGAAGCGGCAAACGAGCTTGCGATTCACTCGATGTTGAATGATAACCGCCGCCCAACACATTTGCAACACCCGTAGGGTTGAAGATGCGTTGTCACCTTTAATAAAGTGGGCCCCGGCTACCGCACTCACCAGACGAAACGCAGAAGTTGTTACACTTCTACTTTACGCCGGTCTTCTGTGAGGTCGTGGTACTAACCCGGACGGACCTGCCCATTCGTGCAACAGCAATACATGATTAATTTAATACATGATTAATTTATTAATTATGTAGTGTTGAATGTAAACAAAGGGCGATCCATTTACATTTGCACTAAAGGCGATTTCGACTATCAAGTACGATGACGTAGTGTAGAGTCACGCGTCATAAGCCATTCTGTCCGAGCCGAGATTAGGCCAAAACATTTCCCGGGGGGACGGTGCGCCCCTCGAGACAATGCCGGGGTAATGGGGTTCGAATCCCCGACGCCCGTACCCGCACCTACCCGACTATCAGGGCAGTGTGTGGACGACCCGTGTGTGTGTGCAACAGCAAACAATGTTGCGTGGTCCTACCACAGTTGTGCTGCCAGGAGCTTTCAATTATTTATTTTTTAAATTAACCTTAGTCCCACATTTCAATTTGGATCGTATTTTGTAATCGGTCATTGATGTATTCAAATGAATAATATATTTTTACTAGTGTATTTTATAGGCTGAAAGACCTCGAAATCTCCCATTTTTTTGCAAACGAGTGTATTTTTTTCGTAGCATTTCATAGTTCACACATTTTAACACTATATAAAGAATGTTTGCGCATTACTCAATGATGTTGTGTAGTGTTGCGACTGGCGGTATGAAATTAAACAAGGGTTTATCACGTCCTTGAATACAAGTGTAGTGAGTATCTCATTAATAATGATGCAACAATTTAATTTATCGCAAGATTAAATCAAAAGAAAGCGTTTGTTGAAGTGGTTTTAGTTTTTATTGGATTAATATCGTCCCTACTCGGATATAACAAGCTTGGTTGCTACTTTTAATCAATGAAGGTTAACTTTACGTCTGCTAATTACAATCTTAAGAAGGCTGCTTCGAGTGTTATTTTACTAGATAATGGTACATTACCTTTATCTAATCAAATCAGGATTATTAAAGTTATTGTTACGTGTGCAGTAACGGCACACTTTCCCCTGCGTAACAGGTAGGTAGTCTTTGTGATTCAGTAGACTGTAACAATTGATACATTTTAGCAATCCAATAGGTAGATTGTTTACGACATTGTTGTTCAGACTTACGTTGAAAGTAGGACGCCAAGCAGCTTAATATAAAATAATCTAGTAGTAATGCCCATAAAGGCTTATTGATTGATACCTCATCATTCTACATTACCTTGCCAATTATTAAAGAAAAATAATTTTAATTTGAATAATAAAGAAACAAAGTTGATAGAAAACGATGTTTAGATATAATTTATTAAACCAAATTGAGTACATACATTACAACGAACTTTAGTTGAGACTAAAATGGAGATAAACAAAGATAAATAACAATGATGGAGTCTATAGTTAAGAGTTAAGTTATGGTTTCGATATCTACTTAAAACAGTGTTAAGTATTTTTACTGAAAATCTGTCACGCTTAGTGCTTCAGACAATCCGAGCACAAAGTTTCAGAGATATCAACATATTCCTCATTGTAAAGGATAATTCGGACGAGAGACGTCGTTATGATGATGATTTCTATATGAAATTAAAAGTTTTTACATTGCTCATCTGCACTTAATATGAAACATTAATGATAAAAAAAATATTTCATATTAAAAAGATAGCAAATATCAGCATAGTTAAGGATGGGCAGAGAAAAGGAATGTGCCACGTACGTGGTAGGTAGAAGGTCAACCTGTCAAAAATTTGAAAATGCCACAGGGCTCTATCTAATAGAAGGAAGGTTGATAGTTGAGCCCTGATGTCGTCGTTGGTTTAGGGAATGAGGTTGTTTAGGGAACCGTGGTGGGAAACGTGGCCAGAAGTTTTTTTATCTAATTCATATGCAGTTATTTAGTAATTTATTATTATAATTATTCATCTAAATTGCAATTAATTAATTTCATTGGTGCCGGCAGTAGTAATTGAACTCGGGTTGCTCGGGTATACTGATTCAAAAGCGAGAGCCCGGACCTAAAACGGCTTATCACGTGCTCAACGGTGAAGGAAAACATTGTGAGGAAATCTGGATATTTTCGAAACAATAAAAAATATTTCGAAGGTATGTCAAGTCTGATCCGGAGTAGGGTCACGTGGTGGACTGTGCCCTTTGTATAAGCCTTTGCTAGACAGCGGGGCATTTATAGGATTACTTTACAGTTATTTAAGATTTTTTAGTTTCATTAATTTATCTTTTTTTTAATTTTTCATTTATTTTTTGCCATTTTGTATTTAACTTTTCAATGATAAAGGTATTTTTGGTTTATGTATCGATTTCGTTATTAGTTTATATTAAGTATGTTTGTCTCTAGAGTATAAAGTCAGTACTTTTGTGTTTTGGTGAATCTTTGAATTATTAATATTTTATAACAATTTAGATAATTAGTTAATACTTTCACTTTTAAGTAACAAATTATGTCATGTCATTAATTAGTAATCGTAATTAGTATTACTAAAATTTTATGTATTTTCGGAGTGGTTACAAATAACGATTTGTTGCTTTTATTATACCTTTGTTAGAAGATAGATTAGTATTTAGTTTACATTAATTTGAGTACAACACCTATCGTCTCGTATCTATTAATGTAGGTACGCATTAACATTTTTCGTTGTTTAATGTTTTGATAAATATATAAAAGAGTGTGTATATTACAATCCTTAAG